AGCTTAGTCCTCTCTACTGCCCTCAGAACTTGCGCTTGTCACTGACATCACAGATAAATGTTTCCAGAGCATTTAATGAGAGAAACAGGTACGGTTTGTCACATTTACTGTCCTGGTGGTTATACTCTCTGACCCAGTCATTTCTGGGACTCCTTCTAAAGGGGATAACGTGGTCGTCTTAGTTAGGTTTTTTTTTTTTTTTCTGCAACAGAACACCATGACCAAAAGCAAGTTTGGGGAGGAAAGGGTTCATTTGGCTTACACTTCCACACCACAGTTCATCATCAAAGGAAGCCAGGACTGGAACTCAAACAGGGCAGGGACCTGGAAGTAGGAGCTGATGCAGAGATCATGGAGAGGAGCTGCTTACTGGCTTGCTCTCCATGGCTTGCTCAGCCTGCTTTCTTATAGAACCCAAGACCACCAGCCCAGGCATGGCCCCACCCACAAGGAGGACCATTCCCTCATCAATCACCAATTAAGAAAATGCCTACAGCCAGATCTTTTTGTTTGCTTTCAGAGACAGGGTTTCTCTGTGTAACAGTCCTGACTGTTCTGGAACTAGCTCTATAGACCAAGTTGGCCTCAAACTCACAGAGATCTCTAGTGTGAATCTACAAGTCTGTTAAAAGGTTCTCAGGAATTTATTTTGGTATAAAATAGGGCTAAACACTCACTGATACAGAACAAGTTAGACACCACTGCTGATCCAGCTGCCTCTGTCCAGTTGTTCTGCCCAGGGGTGAAGAGCACCAACAGCGAGCCCCTGCTCCACTCTGACCACCCAAGAGAGCGTGAGAGCAAGGGAGAGAGAGACCCTCCTCAGTTTTTAAGTTTTCATGTAGGCAGACGAAGATCCCACCTCACGGTTTGCTGTCCCAAACGTCATTGGCTAAATGGAATGAAATCCCACAACACGGATCCACCTGCCTGTGCCTGGTGAGAGTTGGGATTAAAGGTGTGTGCCACTACTGCCTGGCTACAGCAAGAGCTTAAAGAATTTTCTCAGTCGAGGCTCCCTCCTCTCTGATGACTATAGCTTGTGTCAAGTTGACATAAACTAGCCAGAACACAGTCTTTACCAAAAATAAAATAATAAACAAAAAAACCTGCTGTCTTGTTAAAAATGGCTACTGTGGCACTGTATGTTCTATAAACAAACTGAATGGTCATTTTGCTAATGCGAGCAAATTGGTTGAGCTTACTGAGTGTCTAGGTAAATAAGATGATGATCTCAACCTCAGAGGCTTGTATGGGGGTCCTGGCATGGTGGAGCCACATTTAATCCCAACACTTAGGAAGCAGAAGCATATGGCTGTGTGAGTTTGAGATCAGCCTGGTTTACTTAGCTCATTATGGGCTGGTCAAGGCTAAATAGGAAGACTCTGTCTAAAAATAAAGGTGTCTGTGACCTTGGGAAGATAGCTCAGTTGACATACTACTTGTTGAACAAGCATGAGGACTAGAGTTCAACTCCTAGAACCCACGTAAAAAAGCCAAGGATGGTGGTGCATATTTGTGGTTCCAGTGCCACAGAGGTGGAGCCCTCCCCACATACACTTTGGCATACATGCACACTCACACCACACATAAACATACTCACGTACCACACACACACACACACACACAATTTTAAGCTTATGTGGCACCAAGCACAGAGGTACATACCTGTAGTTCCAGCTTCTCAGAAGACTAGGCTATAAGGGTCACTGGATCCCAAGAGTTTGAGGACAGTTGGGACAACATAGCAAGACCCTGTTTCAACAACAGAAAGCTTGTGAGAAGTAAATGCCTGAAAACATCTCTTCGGCACAAGGTCTGGCACAGAATGGGTGTCCTGTATGGGTTAAGTTCCCTTGCTCTCTGTGCTGCATTTTTATTTGCCTGTGCGTGAGAATCTATAGGTTGTTATAGTACCCATTCCCAGTGTGGACTGAATTCAGCCAGGAGCCATTACTCCTCACCCTTTCCCCTGGTTTTCTGAAAGCAGCATTCCAGTATCAATGGTTAGACTACCGTAATCTTAGCCACCACCATGGCCTTTCTGAAGTGCTAACTTTCTGTCTTCCAGAAATCCATGGAGCTGGAGAAGGAGCTCATGGCTACCTCTATGTTAGCTAGCATTGGGAACACTCTTTGTGGGGAGCCAAGGAAACCCTTAGTGAATGCATATTGTTTGACATGAGATGGTCATGTCAAGGACCAAGGCCTTGAAGCCATAGGAAATTGCTAAACCCTTCCCACAGGTCAGGCCTAGATAGGCAAAGCCTTCTTCCTCTGGTCCAAGTGTGAATACTACAAATCATTGACCAGTGTGTGCAAAGACTAGCAACTGCAGCTTCTCCTCCCAGATGTTTACAGCTGGAGGCCGCTCACGGGAGGAGACTTCCTTCACATATGCAAGAACTCCTCCCCACTGTGCTGTACCTAACAAACATGTTGAGGGGCCATGCTGTTATGGTATTGGTGTGGCTCCATCACCTGACCTAGCTTTTCTATACACATGTCTGGGTATCTGTCCTTTCTTCATGCTCTCAGTGTCCCTAGTAAGGTTTCCAGGACTCAGCCATGCTGCATGTGGTGACTCATCTCAGAAACAAAAGTAGTACCCCGAATGTTACAGGAGAACAGGGGCCAGAACTTGATACCCACCACAATGGGATTCACTCTTCATTGGGAATTTTTTGATGAACTGTCCTGCTCATAGGGAAATGTTTGTTTTCCATTATCCAGATAAAGCATTCAAACCTTTCTAAAAAGATTTGTTGAATGTTGCTGGAGGGAGGCAGCTCCCAACTGAAGCACATGCTGGAGTCACTATTCTCTCTACAATTTTTACTGTTTCTTAGACCCCCTAGACTTCAGCTCTCAGTTCTAAAGGATAGGGGCTGTGTCCTTGTACATCCAGGTGTAGCAAAGGAAAGAGTAATCTTTGTGTTTTACCTGTTACTGTCATGTGAAGTTAGTAAGGAGAAAGGACGTGCACTGTGAATTACAAAGGGAAACAACAATTTCCCACTGTGTGGCTGTTTGTTTTGTTCCTAAGATAGGGTCTCCTGTAGCACAAGGCTAGTCTTAAACATAGATTGGCCCTGAACTCTTGATCCTCCTCCATCTACCTCCTGAAGTTGGGATTACAGATGTGTGCTACCCACAAATAAGTGTAACCATCATCCCTCATCAAGGAAACTGCTGTTTGTAACAGATGGAGACCACTACAGAAAACCACAACCAATTAATAGGCATAGTTGGGGAGCCCAGCCCCAATGACCAGACATCCCCACACCTATGGCCCAGGAAACGCTGCAGAAGTGGGGCTGGAAAGCTGTAAGAACCATAGAATCAGGGACTTCACTTTAGGTTGTGTCTCAACAACATGACCACCCAAAAGTGAGCTGAACAGGACAATGAACACACCAATCTGCACAGGAAAAAGTCCACAGGCCTCAACCCTACACAAGGAACTACAGGCAATTAGGTAGAGCTGGGGGCGTGAGAGGTGGGTCTCCCCAGAGCACACCATTGGCTGTGCAGTGCCAAGTGGTCAGCACGCATGCATACGAGTAACAGTCTATGGACTCAACAGGCTATATTTAGGAGTATATATGTATATACAAATACATATAGGCATGCAATATCAATTGATGAAAAAAGAGGCCATGAATTTGAAGGAGAGTGGGAGGAATTTAGGGAGGGCTTGGAGGAAGGAAAGAGAGGGAGAAACGTAATTAAAATATAATCTCAATATTAAAAAAGGAAAAGGATTACTATAAATGTGACTATGTAGCTTTCATATTAGAGCCCCACAGTAGCTTCTCAAAACCAAGTTTTCCACAGAGCTTGCAGGCTCTGGCATGGTGTGGTCTCTATCCACCTTTCTTGCCTGATTTTCCGTGCTCCTTTTCCAACTCACTGTGCTCCTGCCTCAGTTCAGGTTTTACTTTAAGTCTCCTCACAGGGCAGTGAGATGGCTCAGCTGGTAAAGACACTTGCCTTGCAAACCTGGCGACCTGAGCTGGTGGAAGGAGAAAACCAACTCCATCAAATCGTCTTCTGGCTTCCAGATGCACCCATGTGCCGCCCTATGTGCGCCTGTGCGCTAGCAGAAACTCAGACACAAAGGTTACCTCAGGAGAGCCTAAAGGCTCTATCCAAATAGGTGAGGGTGTGGGTCATCGGTGGAGCATTTGCCTGGCACTGGGCTACAGCTCTGAGTTGGCTCTCCAGCACCGTAATAAATAAAGTAAGGCCTGGTGTGGTGGCTTACGTCATTTGTCCTGCCACTTGGGAGGCAGATGTAGACGGATCTCTGTGAGTTCAAGGCTAGCCTCGTCTACATAGTGAGTTCCAGGACAGCCATGGATACTTAGGGATCCTGTCTCTAAATAAATGAATAAGTTAAAAAAAAAAAGGAACTAGTTAAATTTGTTTGAGGTAGCTTGGAGGTACATGACTGAAAAGGAGATACCGTTAAGAAACAAACAAACGTGGTCTTACTATTTTCTACTGTTAATGAAAACCTGTAATTTAAATATTATTTAATTTAGAACAAGAGCATAGCAAATAGTATTCCTAAAGGGTCAGATAGTAAAATATCGTACTTTGGGTGGAACAGGTCTCTTCCCCTTGTAACATGGAAGAAGCCAGAGAATAAAGAAACGAGTGTAGCTGTACCTAATAACACTTCGTGATACTGAAACTTTAATTTCGTAGATTTTTCTCCCATCTGTTATGAAATATTATCTTGCTCTTCCCCGCCCCTTCAAAATGTAAAAACCATTCTTAGCTTCCGAATTTGGCAAAAACAAGTGGCTGGACAGCCCGGTCGGTAGTGTGTTGGTAGAAGGGCATAACTGCCGATAATTCCCCGGTTAATCGGACCACGGTTTCCTCCAACACCGCCAGCCCCGGGAGCATCCGAACCGCACACCTCCACGGGTAACGGACTCCCGCAATAGACGGGAAAGGGCGGAGCCTGCGGTGGCGGCGCACAGAGACCCACCGGGGCCTAAGAGGAAGGACCACGGCAAGGGGGCGTGCCGAGCGACGGCTTCCGGCGGAAACGGGAGTGAGCAAGATGGCTACCACCAAGCGTGTGCTGTACGTGGGTGAGCAGGCTTGGGAGCTAGGCGGAGTCTGGGGAATGTGAGGAAGGCGGCGAGTATTCAGGCTCTGTGGCGGCCTTGCTGGCCTGAGGGTGTGAGCCGAGATGGGAGGAATCATTCCGGCGACCTTCCTAGTCCACTAAGCTCGCAGGAGCCCGGACCAGTGACAGGAGTTATGGGGTTCCAAATCCTCCCGCCCATTCGTTTTACAAACATTCAATGCGGAGATGTCTGGGTCTCTGCCCTAAAGGAAGGAGTCACCAGGATAGTCAGAAGAAAGAGGGAATTAACCTAAATGGCACACGAACAGTGATGACAGGGACTTGGGTGGGTGCAAACTTTGTTGCCGGGAACGCAGAAGTTGAGCGTGAGTTAGGGAAGGGGTAAATCGGAGTAGAGGCAAAAGTGTTAGCTGCACGGGAGCCGAAGCCCGAAGGTGTAAAATAGCTTGACGCCTGGGGACAAGTAGGTTTTTTTTGTTTTTTGTTTTCGAGAAACCCAGGGAAACTGGGAGAAACCAAGTGGAAGGTACTGATAGCCCTGTGTACGATACTATTTAAGGAGCTCTCACTTCCTCTTGAGGACCGTGACGTGTAAGACTCTGAAGTCAAAGAGAACCGATGGATTTATTTCCGCTTTCACAAAATATTCCTACTGGTTTTGGGAGGGGGGTTGACTCAGGGAATGGAGGTCCCTGGTCAGTTATGAAGCTGTTGTGGAACCTTGGAGATAGATTCGGAACATAGTGTGAAAGAGAGGGGTTTGTGTAGGTGAAGGACTGGATGGAAAGATCCCTCCTCTGTCCTGGCTTGCCAGTGGGCTGCAGAGATTTTTGAGTGTGCACAAGGTCACAGAATGTCCTTGGCCGTTTGCAGGTGGGCTGGCAGAGGAGGTAGACGACAAGGTTCTTCATGCTGCTTTTATCCCTTTTGGAGACATCACAGATATTCAGATTCCTCTGGATTATGAAACAGGTGGGACCTTTCGGTATCTCTGATACTCATTTCCTTCCTATAGGAAAAGAATTTTAAAAGATTAAAGGCACATGGGCAGTGATGGCACATGTCTTTAATTCCAGCACTCAGGAGGCAGAGGCAGGTGGATCTCTGTGAGTTCAAGGCCAGCCTGATCTCCAAAAGGAGTTCTAGGACAGCAAAGGCTGCACAGAGAAACCCTGTCTCAGAAAAACAAAAAGCAAAACAAAAGCCAGTTCAGGGCTGGAGGGACGGCTCAGTGGTAAGAGCACTAGCTGTTCTTCCAGAGGACCCAGAGTTGAGATTAAATTTCCAGCACCCACATTGTGGCTCCCAACCATTTGTAACTCCAGTCCAAGGGGGTGATTCAGTGCCCTCTTCTGGCCTCCTCAGGTACTTTATCCATAGAAATGTCTGTTATTGCTTCAAATATTCCTTAATAGGGATCAAAGAATGAGATTCCATCTTTCTAAATAGTAAATGGGTAGGATTTCTGGTGTCTGGACATGGCATGTGACTGTTCTCTTTTCTTCCGTTGCCTCACATGGTAATTACTTATCTTGTGCTTTTTCCTTTTTTGCAGAAAAGCACCGAGGATTTGCTTTTGTTGAATTTGAGTTGGCAGAGGTGAGACTTAGTTCTGTACTGCTGTTGTTTAGTCTTTGGTTCTTATAGAGCAGTGGTTCTCAACTGTGGTTGTGACCCCTTTGGGGACGCATATCAGATATTTATATTACGAATCATGACAGTAGCAAAATTACATTTATGAAGTAGCAACAAAATAATTTTATGGTTGGGGTCACCCCAGCCTGAGGAACTGTATTAAGGGTGCATCGTGAGGGAGGTTGAGAAGCACTGTTGTAGAGGAAGCTATTTCCCGTTTACTGGAGTTGTGAGTCTTAGGCCTTTGGAAGTGCTGTTTGAAGGAAAGCTTCCTATCAGACTGTGATCTGTTGGAAGCAGCCCAGACTGACTGTCAGACCCTGCTTGTGATGCTCTGCACAGCGCTCACAGCTCTGTTCATGGAACGTTCTTGCCTGGCTATGCTGGTGCTTATCTCTTGTGCCTTCAGCTAGAAGCAGATTATGCCACTGCAAGCTGGAAAATTACCCAAGACGTGTTGTTAGTTTCACACACAAACTAGGCAGGAAATACAGAGGTGACCTTTTCCTGTGTATTTTGCCACCAGTTGTGCACTGAGGCACACAAGAAACATTCAGGTACAAGCGTAAACTTACACCTTGCATTTCCTTGGCAGGATGCTGCAGCAGCTATTGACAACATGGTAAGGCTGGGAATCCTCATTCGAACTGAAGTTGCCTTTGCTGGTACAGGCGTCCTTGTTCAAATATTGGTGTTCTGGATCTCTGAAGTGTCAGGATTGGGTGGGGAGGTAAAAGTTGCCATCAGGTAAAACTATTCCCTGTGAACTGATTGCTGGTAAAATTAGTTTGTGCTCAGACACCTCTCCACTTAGCAGTGTCCCCTGCTCATCCTTCTGGGCTGGTCTCTCACTGGCCACCTCACATGATGCTGAATGGCAAACCCAGTGCCAGCTGATGCTCACTGAAACTGCATATTTGCAAAAAGGGAAATGAAATGTTAGACCAGTTAGCAATTGAGAAGAGTAATTCAGTAAGAGTAACTGAAGGCTGTGCTACTGATGCAGACGATTAGAACAGCCTGGAGAAGTTCTTGGAAATGATGACACTCTTTTAAGATTTATGGCTGGCATTTCATGTCAGGTGCGGAGTGCAAAGTTATCATGCACTGTTGCTAGAATTTTGCTTTAAAAAAAAATCTTTAAAACTAATCATCTTGGCCAGGCGGTAGCAGAGTCAGTCAGATCTCTGTAAGTTTGAGGTCAGCCTGGTCTACAGAGTGAGTTCCAGGGCAGCCAGGGCTGTTAAACAGAGAAATCCTGTCTCAACAAAACAAAATTTGCAGCCGCTCCAGGAGGAAAGTTTCCTGTATTTCCTTCTTTGATACTGTCTGTGGTGACAGCTTTTGTTGCTAAGGGATCTGGATTTTAAAAAAGAGACTGATCAGGTCTCAGAAGTAAATGAAAAGCTGCTGGAGATGTTTAATCTGACAATTTAAGCAGCTGGATTTACAATAATTTCAGAATGAATCTGAACTCTTTGGACGGACAATTCGAGTCAATTTGGCCAAACCAATGAGAATTAAAGAGGGCTCTTCCAGACCAGGTGAGTGGGGCACCTCATGGAGTATTTGCCAGTTCCTGTGTCTTGACCTCCTTTATGCGTATTCTCAGTGATGCTTCTGGTTTAAGTGGAGGGGCACAAGAGGGTGGTTCACACTGACCAGGGAATGAGCTACCTTTATCGGCGAATGGCTGCAAAGACCAAACCCTGCCTGCTCTCTTTTATCTCCCAGTTTTCTTAGTACTCACTCCATTCCTGGGAAAGGGCTTAAGCCTGCAGAGCCTATCTTTGCCTTTGGCACAGCTTTTCCCCTTGGTTCTGCTAAGTGCTGGACCTCCAGGGAGGCCTAGTGGGAGTGTGGTCTTGAGCATTTTCAAAAGGGGACTTCTGGCCAAGACCACAGAGATGACCAAAACATCCGCCTGGCAGGTGAGGGAGAGTCTGATTTCTTCATGTGTGTCTTTTCCTTCTAGTTTGGTCAGATGATGACTGGTTGAAGAAGTTTTCTGGGAAGACTCTAGAAGAGAATAAAGAAGAAGAAGGACCTGAACCTCCCAAAGCAGAAACCCAAGAGGTGAGAGGGAAGGCGGTGCCTCCTCCAGAATACAGGCTTTGCTTTCCATTGTTACTCGGACATGCAGATGTGTGTGTTCACAGACGTGCAGAGTGAGTGGGCATCGTGCTCCTACACCCCCACCCCTTTGGTGCTTTGCTCTGTCCTGTTCTTGGCCACATACAGAAGCGATAGGACAGGTAGTGTACTTTCCTTCCCTGGTGTGTGATTTCTGGGTTTGCCTAAGACAGCTCTACCCTGGCACATTTCCTGGTTCTCAGCACACCTTCATGACTAGTGCTGCAGGATTTCACGTCCTCTATGTGCCTGTGAGGTTGACACTCTTCTGTGCTTTGTTCATGGCCCGTGGCTTTTCTGTCCTTTTTCAGCTGAAACAGTACCAGGCACTCTTGGCTGTCTGCAGCCCTCTCGTGCTGTGCTGTCGACTTTTATGGTTCCTGTTTCCAACATTGGACTTCAGTTGTTTCTAGCTGCAAGTCTTGTTTGGGGCTTTTATGTTGCCTGAAATGGATGCTCTCCCTCATCTTGTCCTGCTGTGCCCTACTCTTGGTTGATAATCTGACCACATATTTACTTAAGCCAGAAATTTGTATGCAAAACAAACACTGAAAGTAGCACTCACAGTGGGGTCCCCCAGTCTTTATGGTAGAACCAGTACATCACCGCCGCTCCTTGGGTGTTTCTCTGAAACTTCCCTTGACAGCCTTCATTTGAACAACAGTCCCTGTTTAACCTCACGTTTCTGGTTGAGAAAATTTCTGTTGTTTCTGATTACGGTCGTCTTCTCCTCCACTGCTTTCCCAAGGAAGCTAAAATAATCTTTCTGGAGCAGAGACCCTGTTGTTTTCGCTCATGCTCAGAACTTTTCATTTCCCCTGTCATGTGTCGCAGTGCATAGGGGCTTCCAGGTCTCCATCCTTCCCATCTTGCAGGTGTCATTTTCTGCTTTTCTGTAGTACAGCCCTACCTGATGCTTAGTGAAATACTGACTCTGTGCTCACATTTTGCTTTTGCACAGGCTGCTCCTATGCTGATTGCCCTTTTCTAGGCAATACACTTGGTGAGCTGGGGCCTTGTACTGTGGGGTGGCTATTTTTCTCTTCCAGAGCTTCTGCGTCCACATGATGCCTTGGCATGTGCTTGATCAGCTGAACCAAAGCAAAGGTTATATTTATATTCTATGTCTGCTTTCCTCTGTGGGGTCTCCCCTACTCAGTACAAAGCAAGCCTCGGCCTCTTGTCTTTTGAGCACTCAAATCAGAAGGGTGAACATGTGACAGTGATGGTTAGCATGGAGGAAGGAAGTATTGGTGTATGAGTAGTCTACTATTGTAGTAGGTATATGACTTGACTGAGGCACTGAAGATGAAGAGAGTATTATGACCCTGCTAGCCATAGGACAAGGAGAGGTGAGCTGGCATGTCTGAGGGTGAGCATGGAGAGGTATGCCTACAGGTGGCCGCCCCATTTTATAGTGCTGAGTGAGGTTTCCTGTTATTGGGTATCCAGTTGGATGCTGTGGCCATAGTTCTACCTCCTATAGACCTATCAAGGTCCAAGACCTTCCCTGTCAGCTCCTGAGTTCAGGCTGTGCACTGGAGTTGTGATATTCTATTGTGTTCTAAAGATTACTGTGCATCTACTTGGGGAGCACTAGCATTTATTCTTCTTTTTTGAAATAGGGTTTCTTCATGTAGCCTTGACTGTCCTGGAACACCCACTCTGTAGACCAGGCTGGCCTTGAACTCACAGTGATCCACCTACCTTCACTGGGATTAAAGGTGTGCAACATCATTGCCCAGCCACTGGCATTTCTAACTAGTATTTTTTTCCTGCTCCCAGGGAGAGCCCACTACAAAAAAAGCACGGTCAAATCCTCAGGTGTACATGGACATCAAGATTGGGAACAAGCCAGCTGGCCGCATCCAAATGCTCCTACGATCTGATGTTGTGCCCATGACGGCAGGTAAGCAGATCCCCTATGGTTAGATTAGCAGGAAGATGGTAACTGAGCAGTCTCCCCAAGGTTCTCACTGCCTTGGCTCTTACACCCCTGGCGTTGTTTCTGACTTAAATAAATTTGTGGCATCTGAGGTCCTGGGATCTAGTAACAGATCAGAGCTGATATTGAAGCTCCATAATGCAGGGTAACTATTTTTTAATAACAGAGGTTTTAAAATAACACAAGTAATATATTGCAAATACATTGTGAATACCATATTCATTGTTTAAAGAATGTATCATACACACACACACATACACACATTCCAGCAATATTACATCCAGCCAGCTCTATGCCCTAGAAGTAACTAGTACCAGTTTATTACTTTATTAAAATATTGGCTTATTTTTTAATATAAATTTTACTGTATATACATATAACTTAAGAAGTTGTCACAAGAGTTGGTTTGTAAAATCATTAGTCGCCTTATAATAATAGGGACCAATAAACCCCATTGGCTGCCCTGCCATCAGCACCATTTGCTATTCCTCAGAGGCAGCTAGTTTCATTTCTTAGCTAATTACTTTGGTTTTGACTTCTACATTAGAAAATAATATTTACCCCTTCCCTTTGTGTGTGTATGTGTGTGTGTGTGTGTGTTTTCTTTTGATTTACTGCCCCTGAAAAGGAATTAGCTATTTGCACACCTCCTTATCTATCTCAGTAGTTACAATAAGTTTGGTTAGGCAGCTCATGGATGCCTGTCACTCTAGGGAATCTGATGCCTCTTGCACACCCACTTTCACATGCACATACTAGCACACAGACACATTACATGAGCATGGTTTTTTTTTTTTTTTTTTTTTTTTTTGGTTTTTACGAGGCAGGGTTTCTCTGTATTGTTTTGGAGGCTATCGGTCCAGCCCGGCCTCGAACTCACAGAGATCCACCTGCCTCTGCCTCCCGAGTGCTGGGATTAAAGGCGTGCGCCACCACTGCCCGGCAAGCATGGTTTTTAAAAAAGAAATCTTAGAAAAAAATTATCATTGCCAGGTGTGGTAGCGCACCCCTTTATTCCCAGCATTTGGGAGGCAGAAGCAGGCAGATCTCTTGAGTTTCAGACCAGCCTGGACTACCGAGCTACATAGTGAGACCCTGTGTCAAAAACAAGCAAATTATTGTGCATGCGCGTACACATACGGAGATTAGAAGACAACTTTTAGAGTTCCAGGAAAGGCATAAACAAATGTCTACTCACTCCAGATAGATAATTGATGTACACAACAACAACAAAATACCATAAAGTTCAACTTGGTGAGCCAATGACTTTATTGTGGTACTTACAGGAGTATGAGTTGGCAGTTACTTACAGGAGCAAAAATTGACCCAAAGTAAGCTGCATTACCAAAGGCTCATAGTGACTTCCAGCCCATTGACAGATTAGAGAGTGGGTTTTCCAGGCTACTCTGCTGGTTTGAGACTACAAGGAGTTCTATTTGTCTGACAGTGTCTCTCAGCAGTCCTCCATGCTTAGGGAAGACAGGATCCTGTTGAATGTGATCGGTTTCAGGGACTTTGTGAATTGTCAAGGAGCTTGAAGGATAAACTGCTTCACCTCCTTTGGAACATCCTGAGTCTTAGCAAGCTTTTTTTTCTCCAACCTGGAAAGCTTTATCTTGGAGGAAAGTACCACTTAACAGTCGAGTCTGTCCTCCCACCTTCACCAGGTTCTGTGGTTCAAACTCAGGTCTCTAGGCTTGCACAGTAAGTGCCTGCCTTTACTTGCTGTCCTACTGGCCCTGGTTTCTTGTGGGTTTTTTTGTTTGTTTGTTTGTTTTTCAAGACAGGGTTTCTCTGTTGCTTTGGAGGCTATCCTAGAACTAGCTCTTATAGGCCAGGCTGGCCTCGAACTCACAGAGATCCCCCTGCCTCTGCCTCCTGAGTGCTGGGATTAAAGGCATGCGCCACCACTGTTCAACTTCTTGTTTCTTTTTTTCTCTCCTTTTCTTTTTAAAAAATCACTTCATGGGACTGTAGAGGTGGCTCAGCTGTTACGAACCCTGCCTGCTCTTCTAGAGGTCCTGAGTTCAATTCCCAACACCTACCTGGTGGCTCATGGCCATCTATGATGGGATTTGATGCCCTCTTCTGGCATGCAGGTATATATGCAGATAGAGCACCATATGCATAAAATAAATAAATCTTAAAAAAACCAATCAGGCTGGAGAGATGTCTCAATGGTTAAGAGCACTTACTGTTCTTCCAGAGGACCCAGGTTCAATTCCCAGCACCTCCATGTCAGCTCACAACCATCCATAACTCCTACTCCAGGGGACCTGACACCCTCACACAGAAATACATGCAGGCAAATGCCAGTGTCCATAAAATACAAATAAATAAATATTGAAAAAAATCACTTCGTTATCTCTTTGGTATGGTTTGGGAATACAGCAGAGCTAGAATGCACATATTCTGTCCTATTTAATCAGAGTGGCATGTGGTTATGCATTTAGCCAGTATGGTAATGGCTTATAAGGAACACAAGTTGGGAATACAATTAGCCCTTTCCATCCATGGAATCCACATCTGTGAGTTTAGCAAACCACAGCAGAAATATGTGGTGGGCCAGTGAGATGGCTCAGCAGGTTAAGTGTCTGCTACCAAGTCTGGCAACCTGAGTTTAAGTCCTATAAGTTGTCCTCAGACCTATACACGCATACACATATACACACATATGTGATAAATGAATGTAATAAAAATTTTAAATATGTTTGAGGGGAATGTTGCATTTCTACTAAGCATGCTTGTATTGTCCCCCATTATATACCCTAGATAATGTAGTATTATAACCATTTATGGAGCATTTATATTGTATATCATAGATAATGTAGGGATATAGAAAAGATCCATGAGAGTCCTGGGAACCATCCCCATGTGGATACCCAGGAGCAGCTGTGCAAAAGTAAATGAGTAAAACGTGTCTTATTTCCACCACTTTCATAACCCCTCATCTTTCTGGGTAGGTACCTTAATTTTGGTCAGGAAACTAGGTTGTTGTCAACCTCAGCACCTTTTCCTTTCTCAACACCAGAGAATTTCCGTTGCCTGTGCACCCATGAAAAGGGCTTTGGCTTCAAGGGAAGCAGCTTCCACCGTATCATCCCCCAGTTCATGTGCCAGGGTGGTGATTTCACAAACCACAATGGCACAGGAGGCAAGTCCATCTATGGAAAGAAGTTTGATGATGAAAACTTCATTCTCAAACACACGGGACCAGGTAAGTGCTAATTCTGGTGTGGTGGGTAAGGCAGGGCCAGGGCAGACTGGGCTGCCAGGACAGGCTGTGGTTGGCCAGCCACTGAGGAAACACATGCCGGGTGAGCTGCTTTCCTACAGTCTTGTACTCCCCACAAGTTGGAATTCTCTGCTAGCCTGGAGCTTGTGCTTATCACAAGCTCCCTTGTGCCTCAACCTCTCTGCGCATCCTCGACACACGCCCTCAGTCCCAATCAAAGATCACAGTCCCCTGCCTGTTTTTCTTCCTGACACCTCCATATTGATCTGAGGTCTTGCCTCCTGTCTGCATGCTCTAACTTCCCTCCTGTTATAGAGGCCATCCCTCCTCATGAGGGAGTCTGTCCCTCTGCCCTACTTAGGAAGTTGGCATCTTCTGCTGGCTCCTTTTGACCTATGTAATGTGTTTCTCTTGCATAGCCAGTTTGGTCTATCAGTGTCCAGGCATGCAGTCTCAATCTTTAAAGAAATTATCTTTGGACTCTTGTTCCTCTCACCAGCTGTCATACTGACTCTAGTCTACTTTTCAGCAAGACTTTTAGGAAAAAGTATGTAGACTCACTGCCTTTTTATTCTAAGTCCTTCTATCTAGACTTAGCCTCAGCTGACCACTCAGACCTTTCTTGCTAAAGATGCCAACCATCGCCAGTTTTATGCCTCATTCCACGCCCAGCAGCATCTGTGGTCCTGATTCTCCTCCGTCTCCCAGTGCTTTGCCTGCTTCACTGCTTGTTGTCTTCCCGCTTCCTCCTTTCTTGATTCCTCAAAGCGGCGGTGGCTCGGGGATCAGTTGATTCTCCATAGAACATGTTCACTGTGCCTTGTTTTCTTCCTGCAGCTCAGTGCTAAACTGAAGCACAGGGACAATAAGTTCTTTCTGTCTACATTATTTTAAAAAGGAAGAGTGTTTTAATAGGTGCAGTTCTACACCAGAAGACACAAGAGTTATTCTGCTGTGTGTCACACTCAGATGTAGCAGTTAAAAATAGATGTGTCTGCTGCCAGTTCAAACACTATAGACAATATTGCTGGTGCTGACTCATTTGTGAAATGATGAATGAGATTCCATTGATTTTTATTGTAGTTGTAATTCCTGGGTTGTTTCTTTGTTCTGATCTTGATTTTGTTTTGTTTTGTTTTGAGACAGGGTCTCATACTGTGTAGCCCTGGCTGACCTGAAACTTGCCATATAGACCAGGTTGGCCTGCTTCAGATTCCCAAGTCTGGGAATTAAAGGCATATACCACTATACCTGGCTTGATTTTTGTGTTTTGAGACAGGATCTTAGTGTGTAGCTCAAGGTAGCACTGAACTCTGGATCCTCCTGAGTGCTAGGTTTATAGGCATGTACTACCATATTCAACTCCAGTTACTGGGGAAAGCCCTTAAAACTTGGGATTTGTGTAATATAATAGACTTAGTTCTTAAGGGACTGGAGAGATGGCTTGGTGGTTAAGAGCACTGGCTGCTTTTCCAGAGCATCCAGGTTCGATTGCCAGCACCCACTGGTGCTCACAACTGTTTATAACTCCAGTTTCAGGGTAGCCTCTTATGGCCTCCTCTGGCACCAGGCACACATACGAGCCATAGATAAACATGCAGGCAAAAACCCATACACATAAACATAATTAAATTCAGAACCAAAAAAAAACAAGCAGAGTGGTGGAGGCGCACGCCTTTAATCCCAGCACTCACACTCGGGAGGCAGAGGCAGGTGGATCTCTGTGAGTTCGAGGCCAGCCTGGTCTACAGAACCACACAGAGAAACATTGTTTTGAAAAATTGGAAAAAAAAGAAAAATATGGTGGTGTACACCTTTAGCTGGGTGGAGGTGGCACATGCCTTTAATCCCAGCACTGAGAGGCAGAGGCAGGCATATCTCTGTGAGTTCAAGGTCAATCTGGTCTACAGAGAGAGTTCCTGAACAGGTTCCAAAGCTACAGAGAAACCCTGTCTTGAAACCCCTACCCCCATAAAAAAAAAAAAGAAAGAAAAAGGATTAGGGCCCATCTTGGATTTTCCACCTACCCGTCACCCATAAATGTTGCCAGTCTTCAGCTCCTCTCCTGGCCCAGCGTCTCCCCTACCCCCATGTGACAGCCTTAAGCTTCTCTTGCCAGTGCAGTTGTCATAGCACAATAACCTTTAAAATACATATATGTGCTAATGGTTTGTGTGTACTGTGCATGTGTTTGAGTGCTGGTATGTGTACTACAGTTTGTGTGTGGAGATGAGAGGACAACTTTCAGGAGACCTTCCCTGTTACTATACGTTCTGGAGATGAAATTCAGATTGTCAGGCTTCTCCTGCAAGTACTTCTGTCTACAGAACCATCTCCCAGACTGTACAATTCCATTTTAAATGAATGTTTTGCTTGTTGGTGTTCCAGGACTTAATGGGCTGGTTACAGACTAAACAGCAAGTCATTGTTATAGATGGAAAGACAATGAACATGAACAAAATTGAAACACCACTCATCCTTTTTCTGTGGTGAGGAAAGACGAGGTGCAGCATCTCAGGGTCCCTGCCCTGGAGCCGGAGCCAGCACACAGAAGCACTGTCAACAGTCAGCACTGGTGTGCTTCATGGGCTGGCAGCAGTGTGCAGGGAGCTGAGGAGTTTGTTTTCTCCCAGGCCTTCTCTCCATGGCCAATTCTGGCCCAAACACCAATGGCTCCCAGTTCTTCCTGACCTGTGACAAGACGGATTGGCTGGATGGCAAGCATGTGGTATTCGGGGAGATCACTGAAGGCCTGGATGTCCTACGGCAGATTGAGGTGGGCAAATGGCTACCTACCTGGAGCTTGGGTGGGCACCCCAGTGGGAGAGCGGAAGGGGTTTCTATGGCCGTGGAAGGGGACATTTGGAAGAGGTCCCTATTTGGGAGAGGTTGATCCCTGAGCAGCTAGCTCTCAGCCCCGTGCTTCTCCTGATTTCTCTGTTCTGCTCTCAAAGGCTCAGGGCAGCAAGGATGGGAAGCCAAAGCAGAAGGTGATCATCGCTGACTGTGGAGAGTACATGTGATGCCTTTGTAAGACAAGGATGGAGCTGCCTGGCCTCTGGGGTCCTGGTGCTCAGTGGGTCCTGTGAAGCAGTTTTGTGTCGCCCAAGCCCTTCTTCGGATCAACTTCCTTAGCAACGGCTCCTCTGCAGTGCCCAGGCTCTTACTTTAGACGTGGCTGGGCCTTAAAGCCAGGATAGGAAATGTGCTGCCACAGCCTGTCCTGGGGGCTTTAGCCACTGGGTGGCTTCTTTGCTAAAATAAACTGTTTTTTGTACTGTTGCCTCCAGCAAGTTCCTGGGAGCAATCCATTAGAGATCACATCCATGGCTAAACTGTCCCCGGGATAGGATGGCAAGTTTGTGAAGGTGTGATACCTTCCCATGGCTTTTGTTTCCTTCCTGGGGCTAATTCCCTTACATGCCAGGTAAGGTATCTTTATGCCAGATGTCATTGTCAGATCCTGTCAGGGCAGCAGGAATCAGAGCTGCCTCTCTCTGTTGCCTCTGTCTGGAACTCATGCTGGTGTCAGCTCAGTAGCTCCAGTGTCTAACATTCACGGTGCATTCTCAGGTTTTTTAAATGGTATATTATGACTCAAAGAGCCGATTCTGCTGGGGACTGGGCTTCTTGTCAGGAGACAGGAGGTTGGCATTCTACCTGGGCTTCAGGCAGCCCGCTACTGGTTTTTGTGAATGAGGTTGTATTGAGACACAACCATATCCGTTTATGCTGGAACACTGCCTGTGGCTTCTTTCTCATTACAGCAGTAGAAGCAAATAGTTGGTGACTGACCATGTATTTGTGTATTCTCAGGGTGTATGTGTGTGGGGGGGTATGCATTATATATGTGTATGTGTGTGTGTACACATATGTACTGACTAGGGAATTGACTCGTATTTATGAGGAGTAGCAGGTCATGTGTGCACAGCAGACTGGAGACATGAGAAAAGCAATGCTGAGACTTCAAGTCTTTGGGTAGCCTGAATGTAGAATTCCTCGATGAGGCCCAACTACCTTCCGCCTTACTTCACTGAATCAAAACATACCTGCACAGGAACATCTAGAATTGGTCCCAGCAGATTGACCCTGCTATGTTCTTCATTCAGAGGCCAGCCTCAGTGAGCAGGAAGCAGTCTTAGGACAGACATTTGAAGTGAGGGACCACAGTACTTAGGACTTATTCTAGAAACAGGAGAGGTTATGTGTAAAGAACTTAGCAGAGAGTGCTAAGAGATGATGAGTTCCTGTAACAGTGACCTTTTTCACAGATAGCCTGAAGCGTTGATGCCAGGAAATGTTTGAGGACAGAGAGACATTATTAGAACCCTGTTGTGGTTTGGCTTCTGTAGCTGTGATAAAACACCATGACCAGAAGCAACTTGAGGACAGGTTTTGCTTATGGGACTTATACTTCTACACCATAGTTCATCATTGATGGGAGTCAGAGTGAGAACTGAAAGAGAAACCGTGGCAGAACACTGCTTTCTTATACAACCTGCTCAGTGATGGTCCTGCTCACATTGGTTTGGGCTTTTCTCCATCAAGAAAATGTCCCACAGGTGTGCCCATGTACTAATCTGATGGAGGCAATTCCTCACTGGACTGTCGCTCTTCCCAGGTGTCAAGTTGACAGCTAAGAATAGCTGTCAAAAACCCTATACAGATAAACCAAACCTCTGCCAAAGGTCATCCAACTGGTGCACTGGAGGTAGGGTGGAGCTTGCCTTAGCTAGTGGAAGACAGCTCTGGAAGGATAGCTGAAGTCCTTGACAGGAGATGGTCATGGTCCTCTTCAAGCAGAAGTCAAGCGTGGCTCTGGAGCCTGGGCAGGAATGCCCGCTAGCATAGCCGTGCCGCTTCCCTTCCTCGCCATGCAACTCCTGCCCTGCCGCCCGATGCAGCATGGACCATGAGCACCTGAAGGGTAATGCCTCTTTCCTCGGGGCTGCTTGGCTTCTGTTCTGTGGTCATCTTGCCCATGATACCTTTGCTCCAGCACCAAGACAGAACACAGCTTTGTTTTTCTGGCTCTTGCCAAGTTGTGTGCCTACCTGTGATGGCTGCACCAAGGCAGAAATGAGGACTATGGATCAGGAAACTGCTGGTATTTCCTTTAATGGCAATGGCTGAATCCAGATGTCAAATTCACAACAGATTTTTCATCATCTGATCTCCTACACCTGTCTGTGGCCAGAAGTTTTGTGACTGAGATCCATAAACACACTAGGGTTTTGTTTGGCTGCATTTTTGTTCTTTTGAAAGGTCTTGATACATATCTTAGACTGGCCTTGAACTCATGATAATTCTGCCTTAGTCTTCCAACTCTTCTCCAGAAATCTCTGGAGGGAGTTGGTCATGTCTACACATACCTAAGACTTGTGGTGGCAACTAAAGAGCCCAAGGTCCAGCTAGTTTTCCAGATTCCAGTCAGGCTGGGCCAGTAGTCATCATGAATAGTTGGGTAAATTAGACGTCTGTGCCAATCCCAGAGGACATTCGATAGATACCTCTGGGGGAGGGGCAGAGATGGGCTGCTGCTTGGGGACTCAGGACACCAGGATTGTAACCAGGTCCATCTTCCTACCCTTGGACAGAGGTAGGGGACAGGAGCCAGGAGAGAGCCACGCCTGTGAAAGAGGGCAGACCATGGACATAAGAGTTGAAAACCCTACCTTCCACCTTGGCCTTGGATCTGAGAATAGGGTCTACTTGTTTCCTGGTCAGAGGGGCTGACCAGATAAATGGCAATGGCAGCAGGCTGTTGACTCAGTGGCAGCCACAGGCCTGGACTACCATGTTACGTTCCTTGCGCAGGATGACATTGTTGCTTCTGTCATAGTAGAGCACAGAAATGGCACTCAGCTCGGTGGGCACACAGCACACCTTGGGAACAACCTCTGGCTTCGTCAGGTGTACCTGGTAGAGAGGGGACACAGATAGGACATGAGCCTGATAGTCCCAGTTCCCACCCCCTATCCTTCTAGAAGGTTTTATTAACCCCTTTGACCACCCCGAGACCATTCTCCACTACAGCACGTTTGCCCTGCCCACTGCCCTTAAAACAGCTCAGGCACCTGCCTTGGAGGGACATAAGTGCATTGACACTCTCAGCCCCTGGGCCACTGTCACATCCACTTCTGCCAAGACTCAAGCTTACTGTCCTCAGCACTGAGTGCCATGGGGCACCTCTGGGGCCTCACTGCCACTGTGCTTTACCACATCCCAACCATGTAGGCATAAGCTGTGGAAGGGGCAGTCTCTCTGCAGACTGAACTAGAAATATTTACAGAACATATATGTAAGTTCAAGGGCTCTTTCCCCTTCTTGATGTAGCTCAACCCAACTGGTGAGGCAAGGCTGTCTTTGCAGGTCATAAACAGGCTGCATGGAGTCCCCATGACTGACGGTGTCACTGAGCTTGAAACAGGTGCCAATCCTTCTACCCCTCTTTAAAGCATGCACATTCCTCCATCAGGCTGCACAGCTCCCAGGACAGTGACTCCAGGCATACAGCAAACACCAGGACTGTGTTTGTGCCCTTTGTGAAAGGACACCTTAATAATGGCTCAAAGCAGCTCTTATGAAATCATGATGCTCACACTAGCACAGCGGTTCTCAACCTTCCTAATGCTGTGACCCTTTAATACAGTTCCTCATGATGTGATAACCCAACCCAACCATACAGTTATTTCGTTGCTCCTTTATACTGTAATTTTGTTAATGGTATGAGTTGTGGATATCTGATACATAAGATATCTGATATTCAAACCCTAAGGGGTTGTGACCCACAGGTTGAGAACCACTGCTCTAGAGAATCATTTGATACGATTGTCTATTAGGTAAACACAAGGCCAAGGTTACTGAGTGCTAGGATTCCAGACAGTGTTCTCGAAATAAGTCTCAACACCAGACTCTACAAGCACAAGTATATGGCAACAGGCAGTTGCAACTGCCTTCCTGCTAGCAACTTCTTCCATCACTGAGTGGTCTAGACTGTGACTCATTAGTACTACAACCTGGGAGAACAGATAGCCAGGGAAGAAAGTGGGGAGCAGGCCAAGGAGAGCCAAGACCACAAAGAGCTGAGGGTCACCCGGCTGGGCAGGATAGGTGAGAACATAGGAACATCAGGGAGGCCAGACCAGGTCCACCAGGACACATGGGGCACATGTCTAATGTGCACCTCAAGTCTGACTTCAGAGGCTGTATTCTTAGTCTGGGCCCCACACAAGTCCACAGGTTCCCACCGATGCATGTCCAATGTCTGTGTGCGCAGGTGTCTGTTCCGAGACACCCATGTGAACAACAATATTTACTAAGGGACAGAAAGCAATGGCGGAGTCTGCAGAAAAAGTTCCTTTTGCCATTGACCTAACCCCAGGACTGTCCAGTCCCTCAGGTCCCAAGAAGACCACTGTCATACTGACCAGGGCTTGCATGTTGGCATGATTGGTAGAGTTCATGGAGGAGTTCATTGGGTAGTTGCACTCTCCAGCACAGTAATAGGCTGAGTAGCCTTGGGGGGCAATGACCGAGTCCTGTGGATGGGAAAAGGAGAGTCACATCAGTGTCCTTCCATAGACAGCATCATAGCACCTGTCACAGGATGACTTGGGGCTGTGAACACTCATCATCTCAGCAGGCAGGGCTGGACCCCAGCTCTGTCCTCCACACCTCATCCTCTGCTGTCTCCTCCATAGCTGCCCCCATGCCTTCTGCAGCAGCTGTAGCAGGAAGAGCCCAAAAGCCCTGGCCACCCAGCCTCAGTTTCCCTGTTGGCAGTTTACTGGACAGAAGGCTCAGGTTGCCTCATTTTCCCCATTTTTATGCACAGTTAAAGGCACAGTATCTCCACCTCCACCCTGGAGACACCAGACTCTGCAGGTGGCATGCAGAGAGGAGAGGCAGAAATTACCAGCCAGCCCAGGTCCCGGAAGCTGACGTAGAGTTCATGCCTACGGCAAACATCTCTGCCTCGGGAGCCGTGACCATCATCTGCAGGGACAAAGGTGTAAAGTCTGCTCAGGGTCCTGCTCTGTGGAGTTGCCATGGGTACTCCCATGTGGGGGTGATGTGACAGGCACATTTACAAATGAAGGACAACAGGAAACTAAACCATTAGGATCACAAGTTCTACTTCTGGATCCCACACATGCCATGACCCAGCTCAACAGTCCTCGGGCTCCCATCACCACAGGGTGCGGCTGTGTGCAGCAGGTGGCATCTGGGCACACATGGCTTCTGCAGACTCTCGACTGCAGCCCCCTCCCTGCCAGGCACAGCCCCCTCACTACCAGCCTGCCAGGCACAGCCCACCCTCCAAGCCAGGCACAGCCCCCCTCTCTCCCAAGCACAGCCCACCTCCCTGCCAGGCACAGCCCAAAGGGGCTCTAGGAAAACCTAGCTGATAGACTAACAGAATTGGACAAGTAAGGGAAGCTTCAGGCCCTCACCAAAGATCCCTGCATGTTTGTTGGCATACTGCTTCTGGACGGCTTTATTTAGCTGCCTCTTTTTCAGTGGCCTCAGTGCCCGAGGCATCCGAACAGGGCTCTGGCTGACCCTGAAGAAGCCAACCATGAAAGGCTGTCTAGATCGTGGTGCTTGTTGTCCCAGCAGACCAGCCAGGCCAGGATCCATGCTGTGCCCTGGGGGACAGAGACAAGAAACAATAGACAGACTTGACTGACTTGTGGGTGGTGGCATGGCACCATGAACCTCAGTTTCCTCATCTGGAGACCAGCCCAAGCACATTGGCCAGCAGGTCTGTAGTGGCGGGGGCAGGGATCTCAGCAGCCACAGGCATTCCTACTGGTGATAACCCGACAGATGGGAAACATTTGGCAGGTGTCAAGGATTTCACCCATTGATTTCCTTGGTTGGTCCTCACTGTAACCCAAGTCACAGTCACTCAGAGATGACCAGAGTCCACTGCTGGTGATGCTCAGGACACTGACTCCCTTGGTCCGATGATCTAACACCCAGGTCCCATCTTCATCCTGCACTTTCTGGGGACTAGAATATGCGTTTCATGACACACTAGCTCATGGCCGCCTCTGCAAGGACATATCTGGGGTTTCTCTTCCCAGCACAGCAAGCTTGATCATCCAAGGGCAGGGCAGTCACTGTCCCTCTGATGCCCACAACCAAGCCCCCAGGCTGAGCAGGGCCAGAGGTCAGAGCAGTCACAAAATCCAGGGTTCAGGTCACATCAGGCTCATTCCAGTGCCAAGTGTGTGTTCACCAGGCCAGCCAATGGCTTCAAAGAAAGGAAGGGGCTTCAGAGAGACAGACCTCATCTTGTCCACAGGAAGAGTGGGACCTATAAATAGGGGGAGTCCCTGATCCACTAAGGACTGCAGATGTCAACCCAGGGGAGCAAAGCCTCCAGCATCTGCTCCAGCTCTGCTGGTGGTCCCATCAGCTGTCCCTGACCTTTCCAACTGCAGAAGCACTCTACTAAACTGACATGGTGGCCCAGCCTGTAAACACTCAGGTTTACTGTTGTTACACACTGAGCTGGTGGCCTGCGTGGGCTACATGAAAACCTGTCCTTCAAAAACAAAACAAAACAAAAAAACCCGAAGGTCTGGCTGCTGGTAGGTTGCCTGCACTGTAGAGGACGCCCCCCATCGGTGTGTGTGGATGGGCAGCAGTAACAGACCTGGGTTATTAGTAACAAAAAAGTAGACCACAAAGTTGGGAAACAGACTTGGAATTAGAAGTAGGAAGTCACCGGGAGGATGGAGTAGCTGGGAGCAGGAAGGGTGGTGAAAGCCACAGTGTCAGGCCCTGCAAGTAACACAAGGGGCAGGTTTAGACCCAGGACAGGCCCGGTGTCCCTGCTACTTACTGCAGAGTCCCGGAGCCCTGGCTTAGAGGAACACAGAGGGCGTCAGTGTTCCAGGTTCAGCCACATCTGTTTTCTTTCATGAAACTGGTCTTGTGTAATGAAGGAGCCTTTAGAGTGCAAAGCTGGCCTGCATGGGTGCTGGAGGCCCTCAGGGCAAGGTGAGCTGCACTGAGAGCCCACGGATGCAGCTAAACCGAGGTTCCCATTTTACAGGCCCACAAACTAAAACCAGAGACGGCATCAGCTGTTCAAGGCCTGGAGCAAGCAGCTGCAGAGCCAAGCAACTCCTGCCCTGTCCAGACAAGGCAGAGACTGCGTGAGGTGGGGCAGACGCCCATGGGACCGATGTGGCTCTTGCACAGTTCTGTATCTGATAGGCCCAGCGAAGCTGCTCCTTGTCCAAACCGGAGTGCAGCTTCCCTCCCAGATCGGCTCCTTGCCCCCATCATCACGTAGGACCCTATCTGGTGGAAGACCCCAGGCTTCCCAGCTCTGGGAGAAAAGCATGGTGGGGGAGTGCTTTCTCAGGGTATATACACATACACACACACACACACACACACACACGTACACACACTCACATACACATGCATACACATACACATGTATACACATACATGCATGCACAATCACACACACGCACACACACATACACATGCATACACATACACACATGCATGCACACTCACACACATGCACTCACATACACACAAGCACACACATACACATACACACCCACATACACACACATGCACACACACACTCACATACACATGCATACACATACATGTATGCACACTCACACATGCACTCACACACATACACATGCATACACATACACACATGCATGCACACACATGCACTCACATAGACACATGCACATACATACACATGCACTCACATACATATACACACACATGCACACACACACCTCTTTATAACTTTTTTCACTTTCACCATGAAATTACAGACTCAGAATGACAGACCCCAGAGCTGCCACATTGGGATTAAGAAGGGAGGCCAGCTGGACTTCAGAACGGAATATCAGTATTGTAGGGACAACAGGAGACACTGCAGTTTACTAGGTGAGAATCCATCCATGGCAATGACTAGATTCTAGACCACCTGTGCTAAGCCCAGGCCTCTCGGGACACATGCTGGGACTGCTAATGTACAGTGAATTTTCCAGTACCAGCCCCAACCATCTTCCCTCAGTCTCATCCCAAGGCGACAGGCCCGCCTCCCTTCTAGGGACCCCTATGCAGCTTCCGGGAGGAAGTGGGTGGGGGCAGATTCGGGGAAACAAAATCAGGAGCAGAAACGAGGGCTCAGGAAGAGAAACCGGAGTTCCTGCTGCCCACAGACCCACAGGCCTGCATTCCGTGGCGGCAGTGAAGCAGCACCAGGTGAACTTGGGATTTGTTCTGCTCCGGTGCTTTTCTCCAGGCCTCATGACTCAGCAGTGCTGACACCTGTCAGGGGATGAGCTGGAGCCTTGTATGTGAAGGTCACAGAAAGTGGGAGATGGGGAGCAGTGTCCTCAATGGTTTTAGCGCAAGGCTTTAGTTAGACACACAGGCTCAGCTTAGGGTTTTTAATTAAAATCACTCGGCTCTTGAGAAGATACCATCTGGCAGCGGGAAGCCCGAGAGCCAGTGGTCACTAACTCCTTCACAAATCAGCCCTGGAGGAAGGAGTCAGGGCTCCTCAAGCATCAGGTTTGATCTGCTGCATGGGTTTGAGGTCGGAGGACACCTTAAAGGCACAGCCAGTGGTGGCCTTAACCTCGTCCACCGACGATCCCTCCCACAGCTCCATCAACGTCAGCCCCTTCTTCGGGTCCACGTCAAACACGGCCTTCTCGGTGATGATGAGGTCCACGCAGCGCTTGCCAGTCAGCGGCATGGTGCATTTCTCCAAGATTTTGGGTTGCTTTTTCTTGGTGCAATGCTCCATGGTGACCACCACTTTGGTCTTGTCACCCGACACCAAGTCCATGGCCCCGCCCATGCCCTTCACCTTCTTGCCTGGCACCATCCAGTTGGCCAGGTCACCGTATTTGGAAACCTGCATGGCACCGAGCATGGTCAGTTGGATGTGTCCCCCGCGGATCATGGCAAAAGAGTCATCGCTGGCGAAGAAACAGCCCCCGGGAATCACAGTCACCGTCTGCTTGCCCGCGTTGATGATGTCGGCATCCACTTGATTTTTCGAAGGGAACGGGCCCAAGCCCAGGATCCCGTTTTCACTGTGCAGGTAGACCGTCATCTTGGGGCTGATGAAGTTGCTGGCCAGGAGTGGGATCCCGATGCCCAGATTGGCATACATGCCGTCCTCAAACTCGAGAGCTGCGCGCTTGATGATGCGGGTCCTGGAGGCTTCCTGTTGCTTGCTCATAGCCGCTGGTTGGCAATCGCACGTGGTCAGGCGCTCAATGCGCTTCTCGTACTTCGGTCCCTTGATCACGCGGTTCACGTAGATGTTTGGGATGTGTATGTCCTCCGGACGGAAAGAACCCACGTCCACGATCTCCTCCACCTCCACCACCGAGATGTCCGCGGCCTTGCACATGGGCACATTGAAGTTGCGCGCGCTGCCCCGGAAGATCACGTTGCCGGAGCGGTCGGCCTTCCAGCCCTTGATCAGAGCGAAGTCGGCGCGGATGGCGTGCTCCAGCAGGTAGTGGCGGCCGCCGAACTCGCGCACCTCCCGCGGCTGGCTCAGGGTGACCAGGTGGCCGTTGGGCGAGTACCGGATCGGAGCGCCCCCTTCCTGCACCAGCGTGCCATAGCCCGTAGGCGTGTAGAAGGCGGGCACGCCTGCTCCACCTGCGCGGATGCGCTCGGCCAGGGTGCCCTGCGGCGTCATCTCCAGATCCAGCTCGCCGGCCAGGTACAGCTGCTCGCACAGCTGGTTCTCCCCCAGGTACGAGCACACAACACGCTTGATCTGCTTGGAGGCCAGCAAGACGCCCAGGCCGAAGTCATCCACGCCCACGTTGCTGCTGACGATCTGCAGGTCCTTTATGCCCTTGGTCTTCAGCGCACTGATCAGGTTCTCGGGGATGCCACAGAGCCCAAAGCCCCCGAGCATGATGGTCGCCCCGTCCTTGACGCCCTCCAACGCCTTCACCGGATCCGTGTAGAAGTGGACGCGTCCGCAGCGGTCGCTAGCAAAGCGGAGGGCAAGGCGGTGGGGCAGCGCGGGCCGTGGGCAGCGGGCAGAGACCCCGCGCGGGAGCGCCCACGCCAGAAGCCTCAGCGCCGCCATCGTCCACTCGCCACGCGGGCTCCCAGGACCCGAACAGAGAGGGAAAGGCCCGGTGCACCCTGTGATCCTGCCCGACGCTACCTCTGTGCTGCGTCACAGAGCAGGGAGGACACCGACCAGGATCGCCACGGGTCTCACCCTGAGGACAGCCTTGGCCATCTCTGTGGCTTGGCCTGTCTCACAACAGCTTGGACAGGCACTGGAAACCCTGCTGCTGACAACTGGCTGCCAGCGCTGTGACCCCGTGGTACCCAGGAGCTCAACTCCTGGTGGGGTTCGGAGCCCCCTCCCTGAGGGACTGAAGTTAGCCTGGTCTTTTAAAGTCCCAGTCACATCTGTCACCCACATACTGTTAAACTACTCTAAACTTTCAAGTACCTTGCCACTTTTCCCTAACTCAGAGTGACCCCTGCCACCTCTCTGCCCCCCTCCTTCCAAGCTATCCTTCCAGCCTTTGGTGGACCCCAGACAAGCCAGTCCCCTTTCTGTCCTCACTACATAAAGGAAATGTCCCACAAAAATCCTGTGAGTGAATCAGTGACTATAACCCTGTGTAGATGAGGAAACCGAGGCTCGGGTACTGAGTTACAACACTGCAGAACCTGGAGGGCAGATCCCCCCACCCGCCTTCTCAGTACAGAACCTCTCAGAGTGGAACCTGCTGCCCATGGAGAAGCCCCCTCTCCCCAAAGGATACCAGAGCTGGCTCTCAGGAGGTCAGTTGCTATGAGGAGGGGCAGGAAGGCAGCCCTGGCTGGGGCCTCCCCCATCCAGGACTTCATCACTCTACCCACTGAGTCCTCAAGAAAGGCCAAGCATGGCCCAGGGAGAGGGTTCCGTGTAGTAGGCTGGCAGCCTCTGCTGGAACCATCTCCCAAGACCCCCAGGGCAGCTCCCTGCTAAGGCCTGGAGCCTCACCATCCTCGGTTTCCACATAGAGGCGGAGTCCCAGGTCCTTGTTATGGTTCAGCAACCAGCGGTCACTGGCTGCAGTGACGTCCAGCACCAGCCAGCCCTCGTCCCCAGATCGGAGCGTCTGAAGATCCAAAAAGAACAAGTCAGACTCCCTGTGGACATGAAAGAACAATTAACCAAGGCTGAGGTCGGCACACCTGCCTGTATCTTGTGCCTGCCTGGGGACCACTTTCAGAGCCTCTTCCCTGCTTGGCTCTGGGCTGGCCTCCTTTGCTACCACACTTCACCGACAACCAACCCCGGGCATTTTACTGTGTCCGTGTGCTGGTGGCTCAGTGCTGTGACCTGTTGAGGGCTCCACAGTTACCTGCAGGGCAGGGAGTTCCAGACCAAGCCCCTTTCTCATGTCTGAGGCGCCTCTCCCAGCGTGAGCCCCTTTCCTTTCTAGGAAATGCACCTGGACAGGCCCTGCCGGAGCCTAGGCCATGAGACCCTGAGGTGGGGTGGGCACCTGGCAGAGGGAAGGTACCTGTTGGAGTGCTCCTGGACCACCTCGAACATGCTGACATGGAGGGTTGTGTTGAGCGGGTGGGTGCTGGGCTCTTTGTATATCCGGAACTCAGCAGCCGTGACAGCCTCCCCAGCAGGGATCTGGGTTAGGTCAAAGAGGAATTCCTTCCAGTGTGGCTCCTGGTAGTCCAGGGTATGGTCATGTTCCACTGGAAGACAGAGTGGGAGTGGGGTGGTCACCAGGAGCTATGGCTTGTGCTCAGAGGAGAAGTTGTCTGGGTGGGGCCCGCTCCTGCTCTACAAGCAGCTTGTGATCTGCTCTGGGAGCACTCCAGGCCCCAGGAGGTGTGTCGTGGGAAACTCAGCAAGTGCTCAGCAGCCCCTGGACCAGCGATGAATCACAGCACCTCCTCTCAGAGCTCCTAGGCCAATGGTGAGAAGGACATTGGTCCCAAGGCTGAAAATCCCCAGGGCTCCAGGGGGGAAACCCTATCTACAGGGACATAATTGGCTGAATTTCGGTGGGACAGAGGACTCCCAAAGCCTGTCCTTGATGAGAGGGTGGGTGTGGGAGCTCAGATCTGACAGCTGATCTGGACTGTTAGTTCTGTTTGCATTTCCCTCGGTGTCCTGGGAGAGAGATGTGCAGAATGCAGGCCACATTACAAGGCCAGCAGCAGAAGGACCTTAAAAAAGGGAGGGGCCAACCAGTGCTGGCAGCTTGGGGACGAAGGGCCCAGGTTTCCTCTTGGGTACAGAAGGAAGGAATACCAAATGTAGGATGAGAAACCCCTGGATAGGCCACCACATGCTGAAGAAGTGTGTTTCACTGTGTTTTGGAATCTAAACAGGCTTTGTAGAGGAGGTGAGCCTTAAGCAGGGCGTCGGAGGATGGGACGGCACTCCCAGGTACTCCCAGGTGTGCCCTGGGAGGGGCTGCTGCCTGCAGACCCTTAGTGTGGGTGTAGCAATGGGCTAAGTGGGGCAGTTTTGCCGTGAGCTGGGGCCCAGGGCTAGGAACAATGATGTGCCCTCACCAGTGAAAGTCACATATTCTGAGAGTCCAACTACAAGACCCCGTGAAGGAGCGGGGAGGATAGGATGGGGGGAGACATCTGAGCTGAGGCCCAGGGTGGCTACAGCTATCAGGGTAAAGGACAAACCTGAAGAACATACCCAGCATTTGCCCAGCTGCACAGCAATGCCCAGAGAAGAACAGAGGGGCCTTTCACTTTCTTTCATTTATCTGGTTTTTATGTTTGCTTGTCTTTTTGTTTTTGTTTTTTTTTTTTTTTAATTTTTATTTCTTTTGTATATTTTTTAAAATTACATTTGTTTAGCATGTGCTTGTGCCTCTGTGTGTTATGTCTCAATGTGTGTACCTGTGTGTATACACGGTGTCTGTGTGTACATTAGGGCCATAGCATATATGTAGAGGTCAGAGGGCAACTTTTGGGAATTGGTTCACTCCTTCTACATGTGCATCCAGGGATCAAACTCAGGACATCAGGCTTTGCAGCAATTGCTTTTACCCAACAATCTATCTTGCAGCCCCTTACTTTTAATAATCATAAATAAGATCATTTGGCAGCTGTGTTTTAAATAAGATAGACACATCTTAACTTCATGAAACCCCCTGATGATAAATGACAAAATTAAATCAGAATTAAAAAATAAATTTACTTAAAAGAAAAATAGGAAAAGATTCAAAACTAGAGTACTGTTCCCTTAAATATACCCAATGTGAATTCAGAGCATCAGAAATCATATACTGTCCCCGAAGGCCATGACTCTACAACATAGGAAGTCTAATCATCAACATAAACTCTGAAATGAAGGGAACGGGTGGAAGCCAGTGAGAAGAAACCCTGGCAAGGACACAATGTGAGCAGGAGCTTTGGGCATCAGGCTCTGGCTGGTGAAGGACCCTGGTCCTACTGAAGGAGAAGAGATATCTAGTCAGACATCTTGGCTCCAGGGGGGCAGGCAGGGGAGGAAACTGGCAGGGTTCAAGGAGGAAGCATTGTGCAGCCTCCAAAGTGTCAGCTTCTCACTCCCAGGAGCATGCGCTCCCACACTTCAGCATGGTCTCCTCAGGAGGACTTGTTGTCGGCCGAGAAGTGACGATACAGGAAACCTACAAGAATAGCGCCCACGACGGGGAGAATCCAATATGCCCAGCAACTTTTGCATGTACTGCTTTTTGAAGGATCCTTGTTACCATCTTTTTTAGGTTTAAGGTCATTCGGATGAACATCACCAATGTAGTACTGCTTTAGCATTTCCCTGGCATCAGGAGAGTGTCCAACATCTTCAAAGCTTTCGGTTGCATCAGCACCAGCTTGTTCCAGCAGAACCTCTTCCCCACCAGGATGCTCGCTGAGGAAGCGGGTGATATCGTAGACTCGCCCGTGGATCACCATCCACGTCTCCTCCGCGGAGTTTCGCTTCGCCACCTCCTCCAGCCGGTAGTAGGTGACGGAGGGGTCGCAGCCCTCGCCATTCCCTCCGCTGCCGCTGGCCCCTGAGGTCGCCATTGGGTCCGAGTCCCTCTCTCGTCTTTTTGTTTTTAAGGATAGGGTTTCCCCATGTAGCCCTTGCTGTCCCGGAAGTTGCTCGGTAGACAGGGTGGCCTCAAAATCACAGAGATCTGCCTGCCTGTGCATCCTCAGTGCTGGCATTAAGAGTGTGCTACCACTGTCCTACCCCTCCTATCACTTCTAAATGCCAGAAATCCAGCAGGCAGGGGTTGAAGCAGCCCTGTGTCTTCCCCAAACCTAACAGAGGTCTTAATTATGCATTTTCAAGTCTTTAACAATCCCCTGTGTCGCTACTAGGCTTGCTAATCACAAGCCAGGTTCTAGAAAGCACCAGGTTGAACTATCAGCAAACCTGAAGACAACTTTCTGTCTTTCTGTGCGGACCTTATCCAGCAATGGCTGGCACCCAGCGGGGCTGGGGTGGAATGGGTAATAAGTTTGCCTCCACAGAGGTAAGGAGGCTCCAGCCCAGTCCCACTACACCTCAGCATGTCTTTGAAGTTTTACAATCAGAGCAAGGTTTTCGGTGTCTTTCTCTAACAAATGTAGTTCTCTGATCATTTCTGCATGGCTGCCATAGGTGGTAGGAACACCAAAGGGAACAAGAAGTTAAGCTGAACTCTATGGGGTTAAAACACCAAGGAGGGCCAGGCCAGGCAGTGGTGGCGCACGCCTTTCATCGCAGCACTCCGGAAGCAGAAGCAGACAGATGTCTGTGAGTTCAAGCCAGCCTAGTCTACATAGTGAATCTCAGGGCAGCCAGGGCTACATATTGAGGCTCTGTCAAAAAAAGAAGAAAGAGGAGGAGGAGGAGGAGAAGAAGAGGAGGAGGAGCAGGAGCAGGAGGAGGGGAGATAGAATGTGATGATAAAAACACTCTTGTAAATGTGTGAGGAATAGGATTTGATCCCACACCATTACCACCCCTTAGGGCCCTCCTCCCAAAAAGCCAACTAGGAAAAGTTATTCCTTTGTAGATGGTATTAAGAAATAGAAGAATAGAGGGGTCCTGGGTTCAAGAATGATGGGTGCTTTTCATAGGGTCAGTAGGGCCTTTGAAAAGGTAACAGGTAAGATCAGACAGGTAACTGTATACAGGTAAGACATGCTGGACACATGGGGAAGAGCCTAAGGCCTGCCCCGGATAACATTACAGACTTTGGAGATCCCCCATGAAGGGCCTCACCCTCCCTGGAGAATTAAGTGGGGATCGAGTGAGGGTTGGGGAGGTTGGGGGGGAGAGGAGGGGAGGGAGCTGGGATTGACATGTGAAGCAAGCTTGTTTCTAATTTAAATAAATAAAAAATAAATTATAAAAAATTAAACATATCTTTTCAGAATTAAAAATTTCCAAACACACACATTAAAAAAAAAAAGACGTGCAGAACAGACAGCAATGCTTGTAGAGGCATTTTGCAAAATTAAGTGAATTGACCATTCTGTGCAAGACTCCCAGACCTGCTGGGCAAAACCATGGAAAGCATACAAAAAGCAATGCCCTGGGCATAGAGAAAACTATACTTGGTTCCACAAGCAACTGTGCTGGTTTGTTTTATGTCACTTTGACACAAGCTGCAGAGAGACTTGAGACAATGCCACCATAGGACTGACCTGTAGGAAAGCCTATAGGGTACTGCATCAATTCATGATTGATACGCCCCCCAGACCACTGTGGGTGGTGCCACCCCTCAGCAGGCAGTCCTGAGTTGTATAAGAAAGCAGGCTGAGCAAGCCACCGTGAGCAAGCCAGTAAGCAGCACCCCTCTGTGTCCTGACTTCAGTTCCTGGCTCCAGGTTCCTGCCCTGCTTGAATTCCTTCCCTGACTTCCCTCAGTGGTGGAGTGCAATCAGGCTGTGGTCTGACCCCTTGTGTCAGTGGGTTGTGCCCCGTCTAGATGGTGAGCTCCTTAGGGCAGTAACTCAACATGGCCGGTGGATGGATGGCTTGCAGCAGCCTGCTCATCAAGCCACTGTGTTCTGGGGACAGAGAGAGGGGACGTCTGTTCTTCCCCATGGCTCAGTGTCTACCATTCACACCGGAGCCTGGGATGCTGGTCTGCCTGACAACCACGTCACAGTGAGTCTCCATCAGAGGCCACTGATGTCTGCACTTGCTGTGGGATTTACTTCTTTTCCTGGTGGGGACTTTGAGGGTGGGACAGGACCCCAGGCCCTGAGGAGGAGAGGCTGGGCATGACTGTCCTATGCTGCTGGTACCAATGGCAGAGGGGCCCACACCAGACTTACAAGACGCTGGGCTCCTGGGCTAGTGCCGGACCTCAGAGGAGGGTGGGACCCTGGGGTGGGTGACCTGTGCATTCTACACCTGAAGGAATTTCTCCCACCAGGAGCCTCGGTGCTGTGGCGAGGCCCAGGCTCCCTCCTGGGGTATTTTCAGCTGAATCTCCGCACTGACTTTCTTCACGGGCCGTTTCCATAAGCTGCTCTGCACACATAATTACTGGTCCAGTCCTCAGCTGGCTCCAGACCCCAAATTAAAAGGGAACACCCGCACAGGCCACCACATCAAGCCTGCCGAGGTAAAAAAATAATTCCCAGGAGATGTGAGCCAGGCTGCGGTTCCTCCAGAAGAAACTCAAGAACGTGTTCCATGTGACATCCCCTCTTGCCTGAGGGGAGGTGAGGAGGCTTCTGTGAGAAGGTGGTCTGAGTGTGTCTCTCCACCCCATGACTCATCCCTGGAGGAATTCCCCTCAGCAGGAAAGGTGAGCACAGTTTGGGTCAGAACTGGGGTCTTCAGAGTTGGGGTTCAGAGAGGGGAAACTGAGGCCCAGAAAGAGTTCTATACCAAGGTCACACATGAACTCAAGGTCCGTTAGCATGGACTTGCAGACTCACAGTCATGAAAATGAGTGCACCTGGAGTTCAAAAGGTGGTTTACTGGGGTAGAGATAGCTCTCAGCATGTTCTGTCCACAAAGACCCTAGAATACATGCTGAAGCTCCTTCCTCCTGCTGGGTCCCATGGAACTGGGGTGTCAGGAGACACTCAGAGATGTGCTCACTGCTGGTGCCACAAAGATGGGGCCGGCTGGCTTCCATCCCGCCTGATGCATTTCAGTGCTCCCTGACTCCTACTGGGCCATCTCCTTCCCCTCTGCCAGCCTGCCCTGAGTGCCTGCCCACAGGGGCTGTGGCACATGATGGGGGGTAGTTCAGTGGTAGAGGTACTCGCCCTGGAAGGGCAAGGCCCCAGAAGAGAAGGACAAGTTTCAGATATGTGTTTTTGTTTGGTTTTGGTTTTGTACTAAAGTTTGAACTCAAAGTCTCAGTAAAGTTCCCAGGCAAACCTTAAACTAGAGACACTTACCTTAGTGTCCAAGTGACTGAGTCTATAGGTGCACATACCACCAGGCCCAGGGAAGAACCAAGTATCCATTAATAATAAGCTAATGTGGACACATTGTGGGCTATTCATTCAATAGAATTCAAGTAAAAAAAAAACCCAGAAACTAAGGCTGGGGAGATGCTCATTGGTAAAACATTTACCATGGAAGCATGAAGATGGAAGTTAGGATCCCCAGAACCAAGGTAAAAGCTGGGCAGGAAAGGTGGTGGTCTATATTCCCAGCACTGGGGTAGCAGACACGGGATCTGCAGGACAAGCTGGCTAGCTAAACCCTGTAGAAGTAGTGCACTCTGGGTAATGAGACAGACCCTATTTCAATAAATAAAGTGATGGCAATTGAGGAAGGCACCAAACATCAGCTTTGCCCCCCACACAAGCATGTGCACCTGTGTATACATATGTGCCCCCACACATGAATGTGCATGCACACATGGCGCATACATAACTAAATAAAAATGTTTTTAAACAAAACAGGCCTGTTTTATTACACAAAGACCTGGGGGACTGGCTAGTAAAATTGGGATTCCCATAGAAGCCCCTGATTTTGGATGGCTTGAATTTTAGGTGATGAGCATGTGAAAATTCTGTGAACTTAGGAACACTTTATAAACATAATTCTCATCTTACAGATCCATTCACATTTAGTTTACTACAGTAGCTCTTACTGCTCCCAGTGACAGGCCAGGCACCCTGCTGAGGATGGGGGTAGCGTAGGGAGGGAAGAGGCAAGGGGTGCTGATGAACTGCTGTGTGTCCTTGAGACTATCGCCATCCTTCTCTGAGCCTCACTCTCCTGAGGCAGTACTGGGAACAAAAATGCAGCTCTTATGGGTCGCCCACAGGGAGTCTGCACCGAACAAAGTCTGCTTGTTAATCCCACAGATCCTGTGAGGACACCCCGGTAATATGGAGGGAAACGTGACGTGGTAGGAAACACACTTTGGAATCCATAACTGTGGATGTGGCCCTAGATGTCTTGTGTGGGCCTGGGCTAGCCATAAAGCTAGCTATTTAACCCGAGTCCATAGAGCAGGGATTCCCGCATAATTCGTGCACTGTTGCTAGGAGTCAATAACAAATGGAAGAATGTGAAAGGCCAAGATCTTCTGGATTGGAAGAAAATTCTAAACATAGGACACACAGCTTTTGGTTGGCTTTTAGAATCCATTTCTGGGTTTAAATGTGCACAAGACACAGACATATGGGGGTATCTACCTTATGCCCTCTTTCTGTGTTTATAAGACTGGCCTTGAAGCTGTAGTAATCCTCCTGTCTCAGCCTCCCCAGTGCTGGGATTACAAACACAAGTCACCATGACCAGCTCACTTGAGAATTTTTTTGTCATATATGCAAAGCTGAGCTGCAGGCATCAGCAGGGATTGGACCTGGTTCACCCTCCACAGGCTTTCTGCTCATCCATTTGTCATCTCTTGTGATTTACTAGGAGTCCCAGAAGGAAGCCACGTGTGGCTTGGCAAGAGCAAAGGATGTCTCTAAAGGTGCATTGCGGTATTGGATCCTGCTCTGTTCCCAGCAACGGTTCCCACCAGAGCTGTTCCTGCCTTGACCCAGAGAGAAAGTTGGAGGAGGGGAGTAAGGCATGGGCTGGGTGGTGACTCATTTTGATCAGAGACTCCCCTGGGGACATCTCTGAGCAACTCTAGCCTCAGTTTCTCTATTCCTGCACCCAAGGTCAGCCTTCCTGAGGATAGAGAGCCAGTCTCAGCCTCACATGTGGTCTGTCGTAAGTCCCCAACCTCCCGGCTGTGGGCTTTCAGTGCTAGCTAAGGACTGCCTTGTCCTCTGTGCTCTCCCTCACTCCAGCCACCAGCAGCTGTGGACCGGGGGCTAGAGGTTCAGCTGTCCCCTCTTCCTAACTCCTGATGACACCATGAACCTGCTGCTGCCCCTTACACTCTGGAAATTCCTCTTAGAAACTGAGCACTGGATACAGAGCCATGCAGCCTGGGCCTTTATCAGGCAGTTTCCAGGCTGCCACTGTTTCCCACGCCTCTGGGAGGATGAGCAACACAGTGGATACGAGGGACTGGTGGCCATGGCAAAGTCCTTCATCTTCCTGCTCTGAGCTCAAGGCCTGGCACCAGACCCAGTCTTGTGTTGGCTGCAGCCCAGGCTGTCTGTCACAGATAGAAGCAAAGCAGGTGGGGGACCTGACCAAAAGAGATTGTGATTACAGATAAAAGGCTTTAAGACTAGTAGGAGAAAGTGGCAAGAGATAGCTGGCGAAAGGAGCCATACTTTGGGATATCGAAGAGTGTCACAGCCTCCCCTTGGGTCATTCACTGGCCTGGACACTCACTCTATGCCAAGCCAAGGTCCATCTGGTGGGATGCAGGCCCACAAGACTACAGTCACGGTCTGAGTCTGTCCACTCCATCACCTGACAGTGCACCCCACCCACCCACTTCCTGCTCCATGGAAAGAACCTGCCGTCAGGGCGTGTGGGTCAGGTCTGGTCACTTCGATGATATGACCACAGGTTTCTACACTGAACTTTGTCCCCCTCTTCAGGGCTGCGTTTATCACAATGACAGCATCACAGCCTCTGTTTACTCATCAGTCTTCCCAGGACAGACTGCTTTCCGGGGACCTGGGCATCACCAGATGCCCACTCCTGGGTGCAATGGTGAGCGAAGGCCCAGGAACATGCGATAGCTCTCAGACCTTTCAGCTCTGACCCCCGTAGTCCCCATTTTGCCGTAGTGTGTTTGCTGCACTGTGGTTCCCTGTCCCAGGGGTCACACTCCTAGAGGACTCATCCCCATACAGTTGACTAGGAATATCATTCCCAGATAGGCGTCCATGTGCTCTCCACATGGAGACTGTGCCCCCCCCCCCGCCGGCTCTCCTCGCACTCACCCATGTTGACGAAGCTCATCACCAGGTCGGAGCGCCCCAAGTGAGGTGGAGAGGGCCCACTGTTGTCATTATCAGCCACGGCGTGGTACAGGTCCAACATGAAAAGGGGCGCGGATGCTGGCTGCCGCGAGGCGGCGGGGCGCGCACGAGGTCGGGGCAGCTCAGGCAGTCCGAGCACCGCCAAGATCTCTCGCTGCATGTCTCGGCGCTCGTGTACTCCCAAGCGACGCTGGGGAAAGACGTACGGAGGACGCGGGCTGTGGCCATCGCCTAGAGAGCACAGAGCCAAGCCCAGCAGCCAGAGGAGCCCAGGACGCATGGCTCAGCGGACTCGCATCCAGCGACTTCCCGACGCCGAAGACCAGACGTCGCAGAGGATCCCGTGAGTTTGCACCTGTCGCTGGTAGCTCCGCAGTGACTGCGCACCACGCGCTTGGCAGGCGATCGCCGCGCCTGTAGGACGGCAGAGCAACCGTGGGCGCGGGGCGCTGACCCGCGAGTGTCAGGAGCATGACCCGACTTCAGGGCCTGGACCTAGGTGCTCTTCCTCGGCCCCGCCCCTGCGTGGGCCAACCAATGAGGGCTCGGGGGCGGCCCCAAGCGCGGATGCAGGTCCGCTGGTTGTACCGCTGCTGCAGCGCTGGGTGGTGGTAGCAACCGGTGCGACCCCGAGGTGGGTATGGGGCGAGGAGGCCGAGGAGAGGCCATCAAGGGTGTCCTGGGTCCCCCTCCAACTTTAGGAGCACATGCTGGGCTCCGCGCAGAGACGTCGGGGTCTCTGAAAAGGGCACCTGCGCCCCGGGGCGGGTGGTTCCGCGTTGGGGAGTATCCTGAGTCCGGGAGCTGTCGTAGGACCCACAGCCACTCGTATCCTCACTCGCCATAGTTCCGGCCGTCGGGACCAGGCAGATGCCATCTGTGCCGCGAGGGTTGGGCACATTCCGTCGCCAGAAGCAGCCATGACCCGGCCTCTGCAGTTCCTCGCTTGCCAGTGCCTTCCCCGTTATCCTCCTTGGAGCTTAGCCTGAAGACACCTCTCTCCGAGGCGCACTTGCCCAGATGTGTTCGTTCACCCGCCTTTCGCTTGCTTGGGCCAGGCTCTGAGGATCCAGCTGCTGAACCAACCCCGGACAGACTCTGAGACAACTCAGACAAGGGGAACCGAGGCACAGGAGGGGCTGCCAGGAGAGAAGGAGGGAGGGAGGAAGGGAGGAGAGAGAGAGAAGCACTGGTTCTCAACCTGGGGTTCGAACGACCCTTTCACAGGGATCGCATATCATATTTACATTATGATTCACACCAGTAGCAAAATTACAGTTATGAAGTAGCAACGAACGCAATTTTATGGTTGGGAGGTCATTCGTATTAAAGGGTCGCAGCATAAGGAAAATTGAGAATTTTGCATGTTAAAGTTTCTTGTTTTTGTTTTGTGAGTCTCCCTGTGAGATGAGTTTGGTGGACCACTGTCCTCTGCACACAACATTTGGGAGAGAGTTCAAATGTGTCTGGCACTTAGCTTTAAGCCCTACAGGAAAAGGACGTGTTTAGTTTGGGTAGAGTTGCTTTTTAGTTTTGTTTTTGTTGGTGGTGAATTTGTTATGTGTTTCTTATTAGTATATATTAATAATTGTTTCATGTTGCAGTTTTGAGACTGACTCACTGCATAGCCTTGGCTGACCTGGAACTCACAGAGAGCTACCTGCCTCAGCCTTACGTGCCATCATGCCCACAGCTGCTTAGCTTTGACTGGATCGTGGTTTTGTTTTTCTGAGCACCACATCCTGGGGGCCAGGCAGGCACAGCGTGATCAGGTCCCAGCACTCGTTAACCTGACATCTATCACTCGGTCTCAGGTGCCAACCTCCCCCCCAGGCCCAGCTGACCACCTATCTCATACACAATGCTGCGGTCATGTGGGACCACGTGTGGTTCCCCAAACACCCCAGGTGACATTCCTGTTCCTGGCAATGTGTGGCTTCAGGGACTGAGATTTGGCTATCTAGTCACATCTGTCTAGGACACATTGGAACTTCACCAACTGTCCCAAGTTCCTTTCTACCTGCATGGGCACGTCCATCTTCCCCAACTGTCTCCACCAACATAGCCACTGTGTCATCTGAAGGGCGCATAGACCTTGCCCCCTGAGCTGCAGGGGGTGGGGAGAAGCATTTTATGACCTGAGGCCCTGTTCAATCCTATCACAGTCACTGCAATGACTCTTTGGATGACCACTGAGGGTCCAAAGGGTACCTCACTTGCCTCCATGGCTAGTGCCACAAAATGCTGAGAAAATCCAGTTTATCACAGTCCCAGGGTGTAGTTACACCATAATGGCCCAGCAAGGCTCATGCTTCAACCCCAGAAACAATAATATTAAAGTAAAAATCCGTAAGCACTTTGTCTGCCTACCTGGGATGTCACCAGCCATCTGGGCTACAAACTGCAATCTGTCACTAACAAATAACAACAAAACAACAACAACCAGTGGTGTTTACAGTTTGTATTACAGGTGAGGGTGGGGCTGGGGCTCAATGGTCCAGACCTTGCCTGGCATGCAGAGACTCTGGGTTCAGTCCCCAGCACTACAAGAACCCATATCTGTAAAGTAGTACATCATGGTTCCACAGAACAAGCTCAAGCCATGATATATATTGCTGTGTCTGACTCAGAAGTGATTCAAACTCTTGTGTTTACTTTGAGAGTCAGTAAAAGTGAATGTCTTTGAAGGTTCCTGTAGAAATTAAATTTATGTTGCGACCGCAGGGGGAGATATCAATGGATGAATGGACTAGCTTTGCTTAGCAAGACAGAAAGGACAGAGGCTGGGGGGTGGGGCCTCATTATGAACTTTACAAACTGCTAAATCTAACCCAAACCAGTTTTTGCAAATTCTTTGTGCCTGAGGTAGAATGCCAGCAGCAGCTTGCAGAAACAGCTGGAGCAGGGAACCACCTCTCTGACAAATGTGTGCTGTCAGGCTGGACTCCAGACGGCTAACCTAGAGTGTAAGCAACCAAGCAGCCTTCCCATCAGCTCTTGCCCCTTGCCTCATGGGTATCCACGAGCTTCACACCTAGGTAGAGGCTGGCGTGCACAGGCTGGCCTGGGCACCACCTCACAGACCCAATTGATGAAAGCCACAAATCACTCAAAAACTATCCTGAAAACAGCAGGGATTCCCCCTATCCTGTGCTGTCTAACAGAAGAACATAAGCCCCACCATTTGGGGGATCCGTTTCAGCGAATAGCTCAACTGAAGGGCAGGGTTGTTTGAATTCCACACAGAAAAGAACCTTGCCATACTGGTGGTACACCACTTTAATCCCAGCACGCAGGAGGTAGAGACAAGCATATCTCTGTGAGTTCAAGGCCAGCCTGCTCTACATAGTGAGTTCCAGGACAGCCAGGGCTACATAGAAAGAAAGGACCTCTATGTTGGCATAATTAGAAATATAATTTGTGTGTCAGTGGAAAATATCAAGAGAATAAAAGGCACTCGGGCTGAACATGGTGGTTCACACCTGCAATCCCACCACTCAAGAAGCTGAGGCAGGGGTTGGAGAGATGGTTCAGAGGTTAAGAGCACTGACTGCTCTTCTAGAGGTCCTGAGTTCAATTCCCAGCACCCACATGGTGGCTCACGTCTGACATGGTCTGACATGCAGGCAGAACACTGCATACATAATAAATAAATAAATAATGATTTAAAAAAAAAGAAGCTAAGGCAGGCAAACTGCCCTGAGTTCTAGCCCAGCCTCGTCTACACAGCCAGTTCTGGGCCAGCTTGGACTACAATGAAACTGTTTCAACAAACAAAAGAGGCACTTCACAGAGTGAGGAAAACTTCATTATTTATTTTGGATAGATGAAAGTGTATATTTATTACATTTGTTTTTGTGTGTATGCGTGCGTGCCTGTGTGTGTGTGTGTGTGTGTGTGTTTGTGCACGGTGCACACATCATAGTAAGAGAAGAACTATCAGGAATATTCTTTCCTTCACCACACAGGAACTGGGGCTTGAACTTGGTCACCAGGCTTGTGTAGCAAGCCCCTTTGCCCATTGAGTCATCTTGTTGGCCTCTGTTTTGTTTTTATTTTGCTTTTTTAAAAAAACCTACTTTATTTTATGTTCAACAATACAGTTTAAACTATAACACTAACCCAGCACTTGGGAGGCAGAGGCAGGCAGATCTCTGTGAGTTTGAGGCCAGCCTGTTCTACAGAGTTAGTTCCAGGACAGCCTCCAAAACAATACAGAGAAACCCTGTCTCGAAAAACCAAAACAAAAAAAACTATAACACTAAAATAGAAGTATTAATATAGTTTTAAACAGAAGAAAAACAAGAAATCATTCAGAGTAAAGCCCCCCCCCCCTCGTGCTTGCTGCGGCAGCACAAATACTAAAATTGGAACGATACAGAGAAGATTGGCATGGTCCCTGCACAAGGATGACACAAAAATTCGTGAAGCATTCCATATTTTTGGAAAGATGTGGGGAAAGATGCTGGGGGTGGAGGTGGGGGTGGGGCTGGGAGGGAGAAGTGGAGGAGCTGGGATTGACATTTGAAGCATGCATGTTTCTAGTTTAAAGGAAAAAGAAAAGAAAAACTCCCCTCAACACATTTTTTTGTTTGTTTGTTTGTTTGTTTTTTGAGACAGGGTTTCTCTGTATTGTTTGGGAGGCTGCTCTGTAGACCAGGCTGGCCTCGAACTCACAGAGATCCGCCTGCCTCCTCCTGAGTGCTGGGATTAAAGGCGTGCACCACCAATACCTGGCTTTCAACACAATTTTTAAAAAAAAGATTTATTTATTTATTTATTATGTATACAGTGATGTATCCCTGTATGTCAGAAAAGGGCACCAGATCTCATTACAGATGGTTGTGAGCCACCATGTGGTTACTGGGAAAAGAAATCAGTGCTCTTAACCTCTGAGCCATCTCTCCAGTCCTCAATACAATTTTTAAAATTTTTTTTCTAAGTGGAGTAGGGTGACAAATTTATTACAGGACTAGTGTGTCTCATTGCACCAGTGGTCAATGGATTAGAACAAAAGCTTAACATTCATAGCCATTGCCTCAGAAGAATAGCATACACCGGATTTTTTTTTTTTTGGATACAAAAATGGCCCTGGATATTTCAATATCCAGGAAGGTGAATCCACAAACCCACCACACAAAAAGAAAACGCTGTGATGGAGTTGACACTAGACAAAAATGAGCTTACTATCCTCTTTCAGGACCTGTGTGTGCTGTTGCCTACACCCCGTCCTTCCTCCTCACCTGTGATTGCCCTTCCCTGTGTCATCCCTACGTCTTAGACCACAGCCGCACTGACTCCCGATTGCATGTACGTGTACGTCACAGGCTGGGATCTTCATAGCAGGCAGGGCACGTAGTGGGCTCTGTTTCCTTTCTGAGACTGGGTCACCTCCCTTACTATTGTACTTTCAGGTCCATCTGTTTCCCCACAAATTTCATTTTTCTTTATGGCTGAATAATATTCCATTTTATATATGTACCACTTTTCATTGTCTTCCATCTGTTGATGGACATTCTGTTGGTCTATTTCCTTGTTATGTTGGGGACTACTATTGCTGGGTCATATGCCAGTTTAGTGGGGTTTTTTGTTTGTTTTTTTTAAGAGCATCTAAACTGATTTCTATGTATTAATTTACACTGCTGCCGCCAGCAGTGAATAAGGGTTCCTCTTTCCACATCTCCTTTCCAATGTTGTCAGATTTCTTGATACAGCTGTTCTGACTGGAATGAGGTGGTCTCTCAAGTAGTTTTAGTTTGTATTTTTCTGATGACTAGGAATGCTGATCATTTTTCAGAATAGTTTTAGACCATTTGTATTTTTAGAAGGAAAGTTTATAGTTATGTCTTCATATTAAAAAAAAAAAAACTTCTGTGAGTTCGAGGCCTGGCTGGACCGATAGCCTCCAAAACAATACAGAGAAACCCTGTCTGGTAAAAAAAAAAAAACTTGGGGCTGGAGAGATGGCTCAAAAGTTAAGAGCACTGACTGTTCTTCCAGAGGTCCTGAGTTCAATTCCTGGAAACCACATGGTGGCTGACAACCATCTTGAATGAGGTCTGGTGCCTTCTGCTGGCATGCAGGCAGAAGATTGTATACATAATAAATAAATTAAAAAAAGAAAAAACTTTTGAAATCTCAGCCAAGCATGAGACTCAGCACTTGAGAGGCAGGAGCAGATGGATCTCTGTGAGTTCAAGACCAGCTTGGCCTACTTACTGAGTTCTAGGACAGTCAGGGCTACACAGAGAAACTGTCTTGAAATGAATTAAAAACAAAACAAAAAGCCTTAAGTGGTCTCAAATAAACACTAATGGTGTATCTCAGTGCCTTGAGAAACAAGAAGGAGTCCACCCTAAACCCAGACAGCAGGGAATCATAAAGATTACAGAAAAATTAAGTAAACTGATACTAAGAGAACAATACACAAAAATAAAGACTTGGTTCTTTGAAAAGGTTAATAAGATTGGCTCACAAACAGAAGGCAGGGAAAGACCCAAACTGAAGACACTAGAGATGAAGGGGTGTTGCTACCACAGACTCTAATGGAATCCAAAAGCAGTGAAGACTTTGAAAACTCACACCCCAAAAAGCTGGAGAACCTAGAAGAAACTGATGGATTTCTTAACACATGTGCACTACCAAATTTAAAGTCAGGAGATATAAAATGGTCACACTTGGGGTGGGGTGACATGACCATGTCTCAGGTTCTTACATCAGCAATCCACTGCAGTGCCTGCTCTCCTGTCAGTCTAATGTAACCGGAAGTGTTGGCAACTGTCCGTGTTCTTCCCTGTTTGTCAAGAATGTAGAAGAAAACCATGCTTGTGGTGTTTTGCTTTGCCTGTTTTGTCTGGTGCTGTTTTTAAGACAGGGGCTCACTAGCTTCAAACTCGTAATCCTCCTGATGCATCCTCTCCAGGGCTGGGATTACAGATATGTGTAACCAGGTCCATAAAACCAGACTTGTATCCATCACAACCTTGCAGGAATGCAGCCTGACCCGCCAATTAGGATTTACACCATCTCCCAGGCAGTGATAATTAAGGAAAGGGTGGGTTTCTCAGCCCTGTCTCTGGACTGGAGTCTGGTAAGAAAAGTAGTTACCGCTGTATGGAACCGGGGCTCAGTGTATGCTTCCCGCAGGACTGCCTATCTTTTTAATTCTTTGCTGATTGCGGATTTTTAAAAACTTTTTTAAAATGATTTATTTATGTGCGTTGATGTTTTGCTGTATATATATGTCTGTGTGAGGGTAAGAGCCCCTGGAACTGGAGTTACAGACAGGTGTGAACTGCCATGTGGGTGCTGGGAATTGAACCCAGGTCTTCTGGAAGAGCAGCCAGTGCTCTTAACCAATGAGCCATCTGTCCAGCCCCTGATTGCGGATTTTTGAGACAGGTTCTTACTCTGCAACCCAGGCTGGCTTCATACTCATGGCACTTCTTCTTCAGCCTCCCGGGTGCTACGATTACAGACACATACCATTACCTTCAGCAGAGCACTGATCTTTATCCAGGAACCTAGCAAGGGAAACATGATCCAATGGGCAGCATAATTATCAACTATTCCAGAGGACTGTAAGTGACCCAAATGAGAACCCTCATTCCTAATGGGAAGACATTCCATGGCCCACTTCTCCCCCATCTTCAAGTCCTGTGGGGGCTATAGCGGGCCTATCTGCAGGCTATACAGGCAGGGGGTGCACCCTTGCTGAACTCAGAGGCAAAGGCCCATAATCCTTTCAGCATGCAGGAAACACACCAGTTTCCCCCCAAGGGTGTGCCATGGTCCAGAATCACACACTGGATGCCCGGATCTACTCATTCACCCCTATGACTCGCTTGACAAGGCTTGTCATTCTCAGCAAGGACATGCAGAACCACCCAAGGCTCAGGTAGACTTTCCCATCAGAGATAAGAGTCTGTGAGAAGGTCTAAGTAACAAAGGCAGCTATGCAATCAGGGCAAAATGGTTGAAAACCCAAAATCTCCAGAACAATGAGTGAAAAGACTCTTGCGTTAGAGACTTGACCCTCAGCTGGTGATGCTACTGAGCGGTGATTGGATCAGGAGGATACTAGACTCCTCAAAGGACTCACCATTGGTCAGTTCATAGCTGAATGCACTTCGGGCCAGACTGGAGAAAGTATTAATAGGTCAGTGGAGATGTGTCAGTGGCCGTGTCAAAGGAACAGCAGGTGGCAGCTGACTCCAGGGTGTCAGCCCACCATGAATCAGATTTCTGGGTGAACCTCTGGTAGTCAAGGCCTGAGACTCCAGACTGCATGTTTGCTGCTGCCATCTTTCTCTCGTATCTGGCATGGTGTGAATGGGTGTTGGGAGATCCCTACTGCCTGTAATATAGTGTGCTTATCTCATGGAGATATCCTGTTCTACTGTGCATTTTTACCTGTGGATTACTAGAAAGACAATTTCTTCTTATTCTGTGATGTCTTATTGACAGTAATGTTTTTCTGTTGTTGTTGTTGGTGATGGTTTGGTTTTTTGTTTTTTTTTTTTTGCTTTGTTTTGTTTTGTTTTGGTTTGGTTTTTTTGGTTTTTCGAGACAGGGTTCTGTGTGGCTTTGGAGGCTGTCCTGGAACTAGCTCTTATAAACCAGGCTGGTCTTGAACTCACAGAGATCTTCCTGCCTCTACCTCCCAAGTGCTGGGATTAAAGGTGTGAACCAGTTAGTTTAAATAGGGTTTTGATGATTAAAAAATAAATAAATAAATAAAACAAGGAAGTATCATACAGCTAGAACACATGAGTTTCTATTGAGTGGCTGTATAGACTGTGGCTTAGGTTAATGATTAAGAAAAATAATTGCAGTGGGGTAGTGGTGGTACACACCTTTAGTCCCAGCACTCGGGAGGCAAAAGCAGGTAGATCTCTGTGGAGGCTAGTTTAGTCCACAGAGTGAGTTCCAGGACAGGCTCTAAAGCTACAGAGAATCCCATCTTGAAAAAAACCAAAAGAAAAGAAAAACAATCGAGTCCCAGTAACTCGTTTAAGTTATTTTAACCTTAATGTTGGGAGATGTGTTCACAGGTTTCAGAGTGCACCATTGCTGAAACAAAACTTCAAAAATAACTTAAAGTTAGACTAAGGTATTTTTGTCAAATAGCTTTGAGGTAAAAAATCTGAAAAGGCAAGGCACGTAGTTGAATGAGAAACTCATTAAGGCCAGGGAATAAGAACAAAGCAGACCAATTATTAGCTGACATACCTTTCTTGCTAGGCTTGGTTGATGACCAAAGGTGATGATTAATTCCTTATTCCCATTTCTGCCCTCAATCTCCTGATATAAAAAAATTGAGGAGGGGAGGAGAGATGGCTCGGAGGTTAAGAGCACAACTACTCTTCCAGAGGACGTAAGATCAACTCCCAGCAATCATAAGGTGGCTCACAACTATCTGTAATGGGATCTGGTGCCCTCTCA